TAATGCTAAGGAGCTGCACCACCAGCCCAAAGGTATATAGTTCGAATTCACTAGCTGCTCTGTGGGAGAAAGACAGGCAATCTCATCCCGTAAGATTTACTGCCTCTGAAAACCCACTGGAGGGTCAGCAGGGGGTTGTTTCTTACCTGTTCTGGGCCTCAGGTTTCTCCTCCATAAAATAGGGATCATCTGCCTAGCTTGGGGCCCTGGTCTCCCTGGACCTGCAGTGTATAGCATTCTGTACGCTCTTTCAATACTGACGGGGAAGCTAGAGAGAGTCAGGGATGCAACGTCTAACTGTCCAACTGCTGGCATAGCCCCCAGCAATGATTGAGGAGAAAGATCTGGAAACATCCTTCTGAAAAGCTTCCAGCTCAGGCAGCCTTATGGACGGACAGCTCCGCTTGGTTCCGTGCTGCTGCTGTGTGTGGGTCACAGGTTGTAAGTTTCCCACCTTGGAGGATGGGATAAGATGTAAAAACTAAGGAATCCATAGTCCCTGGATACAGCCTGACTTTACCACTGACCCTCCGTACCAGCTGGAGCCCACCTTGAACTCTCCTTTCAGGGCCTCAGTTTCCCGAGGGGACACACAGTTGTGAACAAGGGGCTCCAGGCACAATGGTTAAAGTACTCGGCTGCTAATCAAAGAATCAGTGGTTCAAACCCATGAGGGACTCCTGGGGAAAAAGACTGACTGACTATCTGCTTCTCTGAGAAACTCGGCCTGGGGATCCCTACCGGGCACTTCTATGATGTCCTGAAGGGTCACTGTGAGCCCAGATCGATTGATGGCGCAGCACAGTGACAGCTGCTCTCCAAGGCAGGGTCCAGGCTGCTGGCAGTTGGCCAATGTGAGAGTTCTTCACCCCTCAGCCTGCTTCAAACTCAGAGGGTGTTATTATTTGAACAAGGTCTTGCATAAGCCCTGAGATCCTGGCCAGACAGCGATTTCTGGTCTCAGAGAAGCCAGAGCCTTAAGAGACTTTGCCCCACTGGCCTGAATCCTAGGGGTCTCCCAGGCCACTTGCGTCTCCTGAGGCTACAGGAAGCACGAGGCGGACCCTGGCAAATGGTTAAAAGCGCTCAGCATCTTGATTTTTCTATTTCTTCCCCTTAACTTTCTTTATCATCGTTGTCCTTAGAAAAAGAATGCTTAGTGTAAAAAGCGTGCAAGTTACTAATTTGTATGTAAGGAACGCTGGTGGTACAGTAAATCGTGTTGGGTGACTAACCAAAAGGTTGACAGTTCAAACCCACCAGCTGAGCCTTTGGAGAACAATGAAGCAGTCTGATCCCATGAAGGCAGACAGGCCTGTAAAGCCTACTGGACAGTGAAACCCGGTCCCAAAGGGTCACGGAGTCACAACCAACTCACATTCTAACGTGCAACCAGAGCTGAGGCTGAGGGGCTCTGAATTCTCAGGACGGCACAGCAGCCAATCCCCCTGGGGGTCAGAGGGGGACAGGACGAGGCGTAGGGCTGTAGCTTCACTGGCTCAGACCTCTGGCAGTCTGGGTGTCTCCTGGGGAGCGACTTTGCTCCCTTCCCCACCAGTGCGCTTATTAACTGCCCTCTACTTCCTGCTTCAGTGCCCTTGGCTCAGGTCTCGTGCTTTGCATGTGGACGTGTGCCCCCATCATGGGGTCCTGGGCCCTCCTCCCCATGGCCCAGGGACAGCAGGCCTGATCCTTAGCCCTGAATCCCCTGCAGGTGATCAGCAGGACTGACACCTAGAAAGGAGGGTCAGGAAATTTAACCTGTACCAAGACTCAGGGTCTTCGTGTCTACCCCCTGCTTCTTGGAACTCTTATACTGCTAATTTTAATACGCATGCCCCACGTATTAACTGTGCATGAGGATGGAGCAGGACAGGGCAAGGTTCTGACGTGTGGTTCATAGAGTCATTGTTAATGGTAGTCAACTTGTAGGCACCTAACAACGTGTTCCAGGCAAGGTGGAATGGAGACATCCATGAATCCTGGCCCCTCCCAGGACCAGCAAGGAAGAGGCAGCCCTGAGTGAGTCTTCCCCAGAGAAAACTTCTTGGGGAGGTGGGAGAGAGCCTGGGATCCAGACCCTTTCCTCAGTCAGTGGCGGTGGTACTGGGGTCATTGTGTGTTGAGGCGTCAATCCGACTCATGGTCTCCCATACCATCAAGTAGGACTGCCCTAATCCGCAATCAGACAGCGCCTGATTCCTATGAAGGGAAATCCCACGTGAACAAAGACCTCTCTCTGCTCCAGTGCCTTTCAGAGCATCACTGCCTTCAGGGAACACACCTAAGTGAGTTAGGAGAAGCAGCTCTGATAGCTGGTTACAGCGGGGAGATGTCCCAGCATGGGAGCAGGGGCTGCCAGAAAGGGTCCGCGAAAGGTTGTGCCCCCCGCATGACCAGGGAAGAGTCTTGGGGGCTTTGTTTTACTATAGATGCTTTCTGTAGATAGAAGCTGTTCTGAGATAGTGAGAAGGGGGCTTCGGCTAGCAAGAAGGGAAGGCTTGCGATTCTGTGGGTATCTGGTGAACTTGGCTTTTACTATGTGCAGACAAGATTGGGGAGCTCTGGTGGCCTCGTGGTGAGGAGCTGCTCTAATCCTCCAGCTGTTCTGCGGGAGAAGGATGGGCGGCGTCCTCCTGTGCCATTTACTGCCTCTGAAAACCCCCTGGAGTCTCAGCTATGGGTCGGTTCAGACTCGATGGCACACAACAACAGACAAGGTTGTGAATGATCTTTGTTTCATTTTATTGTGGTCTTGGGTGATCTTGTCTGAGGCTGATGCTGTATAATCTTTCTTAGGTCCAACAAGAGAACAGAACTAGCTTGGTTCTGGGTGTCATGTCTAGTTCTGATGTCAGAGCTGCTCTCCCATCCTTCCAGGGTAACCTCACCCTCCTGCTAGTATTTTCTGCTTTCAACCAAGATCCATCTCACATCAACAATGCTATCCCTCATAAGGACCCTATAAGGACAGAGCAGAGCTGCCTCACAGTGTTTCTAAGGTTGTAACCTTTACGGAAATCACTCCTTTCTTCCATAGAGCAGCTCATGAGTTTGAACCATCAACCATCTGGGTAGCAGTCAAGTGCTTAACCACTGTGCCACAAGGGTGAAGAGTAACCCACCTTTCCTAAAGCCCTATTAACTCTTCACCCTCGACCATTTGTCATTGTCTGTCCTGTGCACAGTGAAGCAGCCTTCCTGGCTTCTACCCTCTAGATGCTGGGAGTACCTCCTTCCTATTTGTGACAGCCAAAAATACCTCTAGACATTGCCTTGCGTCCCCTGGATACAGCCAGTGCAGTTTGGAACCCACTGACTGAAGGTTCTGTAGTAAGTGACGGAGCTGAGTCTAACCTAGAACCCACATATTATACCAACAGTCACATGTCCAATTTCAGGGATGGGTTTCCAAGATACTAGCTGCAGGAATTCATCACTCCTTCCAAAATGTTGTGGGCTTTGTCTGGGGAGGATTGTCAAGGTGAGGAGTAATTTTAAAACATATGTCACATCCTGTCCTGTCCCTCCTCATACACCCCTCTGGCTTCCATCTGACTCAGGAGAAGTCAAAGTCTTCTCTGATCTTTGTTTCTTCAGCACACTGCCCTGCTCTACATACTTTGAATGTATCCCAGAGCCTTTGCATTTGCTGTTCCTACTGCCTGGAACCATCTCTCTTCATGGAATTGGCTCCCTTGTGCCCTGAGATCTTGGACTGAATGTCATTGTTTCATGGTGTTTTTACTAATGATCTGGGAGTCTGTTGGCCCTCTCTGCTTCTCCTTCCTGCTCTGCCCGCCACTTCTCATTGTATCGTCTGGTTCTACTCTTCCATAGAGGGGCTCTGGTGCCTTAGACTGTAGTACATTGCACCGTTAACCAAGAGGCCGTGATGCTCCTGCTGTTCCTATCCACCAGTGACTCAATGAGAGAAAGGCAGGCAGTCTCCTCCTGTTGTGATTTCCAACCTCAGAAAGCCAGTGGAGGCGCACCCTGAGTCAGAACAGATTCGACAACAGTGAGGTTCATTCGTCCATGACATTCTTCACACTTGAACTTGTCTCTATATATGATCTACCCCTTCCTTTAGAATAGACTCTCCGTGAGAGCAAGAACCTTGTTCTTTACTTTTCACCTTGTATTCTGAGTACTTAGTTAACAACACATCATAAATTCTCAATGAATGCTTTATGATTGAATGAATGATACACAGTTGGCATCACCATTCACATCACCTGTCCATGACCATCCATACCTAGTCTTTTCCAAGCATCCCCTGAGCATCCTTCTATAAGTTTAGGGTTTAAAGTATGGATTTCAACCAGTCTTGCAGCTAATTTCCTGTTCACATGACTGGGACTATCTCCACATCTGAATGGGTCAGTAGGATAACATATTGAATATCATTATTACTCACTGAATAATATGGGATAATATGTAGGCAAAAAGAGGATAGTATAATATATGGCCTGATAGTATCAGGAAGGGCTTCAGTCCTTTTGTTCATAGGGTTGTTATGAGTTGTGCTCAACATGACAGCAATCAACAACAACAACAATAATATCAGCAAGAAGTGGAGCCTTAAAAAGTCTTTTTCTTGTTCAAATAATATTTTATATTCCTTGGCAAAGGTTTGCATAACACTCTATGTTCCTATTCAATTATTTCGATACAAATAATTTTGAGACATTGACAACATTCTTCATAATACATGAGCATTGTTATTATTTCCATTCTGGTTGTTCTGTTTTGCTTCATCTAGTTTTCCTGTCTGCTTACCTTATCATCTTTGTTTTACGTTATTAACTGTTTGGTCTCATGTGGATGATTTTTTTTAAAGGAGCACAGTTCTTACTGTTGAGATTCATGATTCTGGGAGGCAATCTCTTACACAGTTACTTAGTGTGAAGATGCATCGTTGAGTGCCCAGATAAGAATGGAAACACTCTTGCCCTATTGCTGCCTTACACTAAAGACCTCCTGCTCTTTCCTCCTAGCTGCTGCCCAGAGAAACGGCCTGCACCCCGTGTCCTCGGATATGCAGTTCTTTGCCAGCACCGAAGAGTGAGTCCATGATGAGAATCATAGAGGAGCCGGAGCTTGGCCCGAGAGATAACGGCCAAGACGGCAATACTGCCAGCAAGGCCTCGCCCTTCCCCCAGTTTGCTCCAAATGCTCTTCTGCTCACAGTTCCACCAAGCATGAGCCCCTGCAGCCTCCTTTTAAAAGATGGGGATGTGGAAAGGGCAGGGGGCTGCACCAAGTTCCTAAAGGTCTGGTGAGACTCTTAGGCGCTTTCTCCATCAAAGAAGGGACCCAAAGGGACAGGAAAGTTCAAACGACAGGACAGAGAAGTGAGAGGGCAGAGCTCCAAAGAGGAAAGTGTTCCTATGAAACAGTCAGGGAGCTCTGATGGCACAGTCCACAGCCGTCAAAGGCCGAGTAAGTGTCTGTGGCAGTTCAAATCCACCAGCAGCTCTTTAGGAGAAGGATGGACAATCTTCCTGTGTTGTGATTTACAGTCGTAGAAACACCCTGGATGGTTGTGATGAGTCAGGATCGACTTGACAGCAGTGGGGTTGAGTTTGATGAGACTGTCATCATGCTTACGTCAGCCAGACTGAGCATGAGTCTCTGAGCGCTGGAAGCGGTTTACACCCTCAGCTGCCGAAAGGTTGGAGGTTAAGCCAGAGATGCTTTGGAAGAAAGGTCTGGCAATCTCCTTTCGGGTGTGTGTGGGTGTGTGTGGAAACCAGCCATTGAAAAGCCTATGAACACAATTCTACTCTGGAATCTCTGGGCCTATCTTAAGTTAGAACAGATTAATGACGATGATTTTCTTTTCTGTGACTTGGAACACCTTTTCACATAGAATCAGTATCCTTTTTCTTATGGCAGCATTGTTAAAAACAAGAGTTTGGAGCCATGGTTTTGAGTCCTGGCTCTGCCACACACCAGCTGTGTGAGTTAGACAAGTCACTTAACCTCTCTAAGCCATCAGGTAGCCTATGTCTATCAACTGGACACGATACTGGAACCCACCCAGAAGGTTATTTTGAGAATGAGTAAGTTGCCCGGTTCATCCAAGTACAGATGGTGGTTCTCGATATTAATGATGTTGTCATGTCGGTATAACAGTGATCAAACATCAAGGAGTGATGTGTTTGCCCAGGACAGTTCTGCTCATCAGTCATGCCCGTTTCATTCATTTATCAAATATTTATCCAGAGCTTGTGACAAGCCTGGCGTAGAGGTTAAAGAGCTCTGGTGGTTTGGTCCGTAACGAGTTGAACTGCCAACCCAGAAGTTCAAATCCACCAGTGTCTCGGTGTGAGAAAGATGGGCTTCTCCCCCAGTTGCAATTCACAACCTTGAAAGCCTGACAGAGGACCACGATGAGCGGGAATTTACTAATGCCTGTGATGTTTTGTGTTTGTTTGCCAATGGTTAAAGCACTTGGTTGCTACCAGAAAAAGTCAGTGTGTGTGTGTGTGTGTGTGTGTGTGTGTGTGTGTGTGTGTGTGTGATGTGAGAAGAACATCTGCTTCTGAACCTTGTGCCATTGGGTTGTCAAATGGCATAACGGTTACCCATGGTGGACAGTGTTTGGTGGAGCTCCCAGTTTAAGACAGGTTTGGAAGCAGGAGTGGCATCCACTTCCTAAACCACATGCCTCTGGAAACTCAATGAACTTTGAGAAACAACGATAGTTATAGAAAGGCTGTAGGTCTTTTGTTCACAGGATCGCTATGAGTTGTGCTCAACTCGACGGCAATCAACAACAACAACAACAACAAAGGTTTAAAATCTAAGAAACTCTGTGAGATGATTCTATTCTGTTCTGAAGAATTGCTATGAGTCATGATCTACTTGTTGCCAGTAGATTTTTGAGGATGCCATGAACATCCTAAAAAATGGGTTAGGTTTACCCCTCATGCACTGGGTTAGAGATAGGGGTGTGTGTGTGTGTGTGTGTGTGTGTGTGTGTGTGTGTGTGTATGGCACAGTAGTGAGTTGACAAGAATTCTGCCGTGATGTGTGTGAGGTGTGTGTGTGTGTGTGTGTGTGTGTGTGTGTGTGTGTGTGAAGTGTGTGTGTGTGTGTGTGTGAGTGAGTTGACAAGAATTCTGCCGTGATGGAACTTCTATTCTGACGGCAGGAAATGAGTACATGAGTGAAATTCATAAGATATCAGCTGTCTGGCAAGTTCCGTGGAGGAGACTGAAGCAGAGAGAGGGCTAGGGAGCAGGACTGGTGAGCAGTGATGGGCAGTTTTAAAGTAAGAACACTTGATGGCAACTGATAACAGCAACAGCAGGAGCAAAAGGAAAAATGTTCTCCATTCTCATTTCCAGAGATTGTTAAAGCAGATGCAATTCCAGACTTTATTTTTCTTATTTCTCCATATACAAAAATGTGTTTTTAAAATAAAAGACTTAAAAATGCTGTATTTGTGGCCAACTGTTTCACTTTATGGAGTGCTGAGGATTTCCTTTCACCTCCATAAATATATGTTCATATCATTGCCTTCCATTCATTTCTTAATCCTTAACTTTACAAAGAAACTGCTCCAGAAAATACAGTTTTGTAAGGGGAGAAGGAATCTATGATTCTACCTCAAAGAAAGGCACCAAGACCATTTTGTCTATACTCTACTGTTGTTGTTAGATGCTGTTGTGTCGAATACAACTCATAGCGACCCTGTGAACAACAGATCTGAACCCTGTCCTGTTCTGTCCTGCGCTGTTTTCACAATCTCTGACACGCTCAAGCCTATCGCTGCAGTCACTGTGTCAATCCACCTGGTTGAGAGTCTTCCTCTCAGTTGCCACCCCTCCTCCTTCCCAAGCATGATGTCCCTCTTCAATGAATAGCTTCTCCTAGCAACATGCCCACAGTATGTGAGGTGAAGTTTTATCATCTTTGCTTCCAAGAAGCACTCTGGCGGCACCTTTTCCAAGACTTACCTGTTAATTAGTTTAGACATTCCCAACTAGACTTTTCCTAATACTCCTACATTCCTACGGTATGTGAATAGTTTTTTAAATTAAAAAAAATTAATAGGTACGGCTGCTTGGCTTCTCACTCCATGTTGCATAAGGGCCCTCTATCACCTTAACAAGCACCCTTGAATGGTACATGAGAACCAGGTGGCATAATAAGATAGCTTCTGCGGCTGAGTCTGTAGGGAGTTGTCCTGCTGGCCCAGCTGCTGTGTTTCTCTGGTGGTTCGAATCCACCAGCTGCTCCATAGGAGAAAGATGGGCAATCTCCTGTGTGATTTACAGTCTCAGAAACCCAAGAGAGAGTAAGCCATAGTCAGTTCTGACTTGACGATGAATTTGAGTGCTTTTTTATCATAATAAACATTTTCTATGTCATTATTTTTAAAGCTGCTTTGTTATTCACCTTGAAAAGGGACCATCTTTTGTTAACCAGCTCATTCTGATGGACATTTAAGTTGCTTTCCATTCTAAATGCTGTTTGACACCATGATGAAGTCCTTGTACCAAGACCTAAACACAAGCTCACTGCCATCAAGCCAATCCTAACTTCTATCAACCTTACAGGACAAAGTTCAACTCCCCACGGGTTCCTAAGGAGCTGGGGCAGAGTGTGGTCTGTGCTGTATGGTTTAAGGAAAGGTCGTTGGTTCGAATCCATCAGTTGCCCCGTGAGAGGAAGATGGGCAGCTTTCTCGTAGAAAGATTTACAGCCTCAAAAATCCACTGGAGGGTTGGGATCAAGTCAAATGCAGTGGAATCTTTCTGGGAGTGGGCTGCCTCAGCTTCCCCTTCACAGAGCAGCTGGTGAGATCCCACTGCCAACCTTCTGGTTGGCAACAAAGCCATTTCAATGTCTGTGCCACCAAGGCACCACCTACCTAAGATATTTGTCAGATTCTTTCTTTTTTCCTTTATTTTAATGAAAGCTTACAGAGACTTTGGATTTCCATTCATTCATTCTTGCACACTTTCCTCCCTGCCCACTCCTCCCCCCACTTCACATTTCTCTTTGAAAAGTAAAAAATTCTTTCAATGTTATGCAATCCCCCTGCCCCCAGTCCACTCCACTATGCAGCTTTCATTCTGGATCCCGTCATGACAAAACTCCCTAATCACATATCCTTTTTAAACAGTTCTCTCCCTCATTTGTTTCAGTGCAGTATACATTATTTATCCCCTCTTTTCTTAGTTTCCACCCAACCCCGATGTCAGTCCCGCTTTGCAACAGTGGCACTATGCAGTATTTTTCCTTTTGTGACTGAGATAGTTCACTCAGCATTACATCCTCCAGGGTCACCCATTTTGTATAACAATTCATGAGTTCATTGTTTTTCAATTCAGTATAGTATTCCATTGTGTGAATATACCACACAATTTGTTGATGGGCACTTAGGTTGTTTCCAACTCTTTGCTATCATGAACAAAGCCGTGATAAACATTGGTGTGCATATATCTGCTTGGGTGGCAGTTATGGGTATATTCCCAGTAGTGGAATTTCAGGGTCAAATGGTATTTCTATTTGCAACTTTTTGAGAAAGCACCATACAGCCTTCCATAGAGGTTGCACCATTTTACACTCCCACCAACAGTGAATAAGCGTTCCAGTCTCTCCACAACCTCATCAGCATTTGTTGTTTGCTGTTCTGTTAAATTGTGCTATTCTTACTGGAGTGAGATGATATCGCATAGTTGTTTTGATTTGCATCTCTCTTAGACCTAGGGATTTTGAATATTTCTTCATGTGTTTGTTCACATCTGAAAGTCTTCTTTGGTGACCTGTCTGTTCATATCCTGTGCCCATTTTTCAATTGGTTTGTTTATCTTGTTGTGGTGCTCAAGCATTTTATAAATTCTAGATGTAAGTCCCTTATCAGACATGTCATTGCTAAATATTTTTTTTCCCAGTCTGTGGCTTCTCTTTTTATCCTGTTGGAGAAGTTTTTGGATGTGCATGATTATTTCTTTAGGATCAGTTCTGAGAGTAGATAGGTGAGCTGAAGGAGAGGTATATGGTGGACATCTTTAAAGGCTTTAAATACTGGGACCAAACTACCTTCTTGAAAGATCATTTAAGCTCTCCCTCCTACCCCTGCAATGTGTGTGACCTGTCTCCCCAGGCCAGAAATCCCCAGTGTGTTCTGAATGGCTGCTGTTTGGATTTGTTTAAAGCAAAGACTGCCCTGAAGAAGTGGAGGCGCCTCTGGACCTGCAGCCTGGCTCCAAGAAGGAGGAGGAGTACCGCAAGAACATCTGGAAGGGCTTCCTCATCTCCATCCCCTACTCAGCCAGCATCGGGGGCACCGCCACCCTCACGGGCACCGTCCCCAACCTCATCCTCCTTGGCCAGCTTAAGAGGTAAAAGCCAGTGTTGGGGATTTGGTAAGATACTAAGTAAAGCAGGATACTGTTGTTATTAGGTGCTATCGAGTCAGCTATAACCCAGCAGCCCTGTGAATGACAGATTTCTTGCCCTCTCCTGTTCTGTCCTCACAATCTCCAATATGCCCCAGGCCATTGTTGACAGTCATGGTATCAGTCTGTCTTGTTGAGGGTCTTCCTCCCTTTCTCTGACTACGTGGCTTGTCCATACTGCTTGAGTTCCAGGTCTGAAACATTCCAGCTTTTTCTGTTTCTATTTCCAAGATTTCAAGCTCCCACTATCCCGAGAAACTGACTTTGTAATATTCCTTTGCAGTAGAGATGCATAATATATTCATTTAATTACAGAAATGCAAAGGGAAACATTTGGTCAACCCAATGCTGTCAGATGAAAACCAAATTTAAGATTTGACATGGAGAAGCTTTCTTCAGAAAGAAAGGGGGGAGGGAAGAGAGACCCTTGCCCCCACCCCACTGCGGTCATGTTAATTCCAACCCACTGTGAACTTTTAGGATGAAGCAGGACTGCCCCATGGGACTTCCAAGGGTGTCCGTTACACAAACAGACTGCTTCATAGCTCTCCTATGGAGTGGCTGGTGGATTCGAACTATGGGCTTTTTGGTTAGTAGCTGAATATTTAACCACTGTGCTACCAATTTTCCTTAATAGTGGGAGTTTGTTGTTGTTGTTACATACCATTGAGTGAAATCCCAACTCGTAGCTGACCCTCCGGTTGGTTTTCAGAGGCAGTGAAGTGCACATAAGGAGATAGCCCATCCTTTTCCCTTGAAGCAGCTTGTGGATTCAAACAGCGTGCCTTTGGGATTATAGTGCAGCTTCTTAAAACTGGGCCAGTATCTGTGGGAGAGGAAGCCTATAACAGGAGAACCAGCCCAGGAACTCTAAAGCTGTGTCATAGAGGTAAAGGCGACAGAGTTACCTTCTTCCAGACTGAGAATAAACGAGGCTAAGGAATAAACCCAGATGTGGGGAACTGGAATGAATAATGATACCAATGGACAGTAAATCAGAATGTTTTCTCCTGGGGGCCCTTAAAGAAGGTTTAGGCTGAAAGTGGGCACAATTTAGTGGCTCTGAAGAAGGAGAGAGGCTTACCAAGCTTGGCTGGAAGCACTTTGTTTCTGATTGATCAAAGGAGACAAGCAATTCAGTTATTCATTTATGATTCAAGGAACAGGCACTTAGAGAGTCTCCTTGGCCTTGTCGTAGGTAAACAGGGAGCATCTGTACATCTTACCTAAGTCACGTGAACAAACCAGAACCAACCCATTGGCTAGTCAGTAACTGCTCATGGTGGCCCTCCACCAGGTTACTGTGGCTTGTCAGTCTTAACATTACTGTTGTTATTATATACCATTGAGTCGACTATGACATACTGACCCTACGCACAATATTTCTGAAAGTGTTCTATCCTGAGCCAATCTCTCTGACAAACCTACCCTCATTCTGCCAGTTATTGTGTCAAACTATCTCATGTGGGGGTCTTCCTCTCCTGTGCTACTGCTCAACCTTTCCAAGTACGATGTCCAAAGTATGTCTTTGGAGTGGTTAGTGGATTCCAGTCATTGACCTTTTGTTAGCTGACCAATGTATAATGGACAATGCCAGCCGGATTCCTTAAATTATACTGAAAGGAAGGCTATTTGCAGAAAGCTGGTTTCTAGACATGAACTCAGAACCCTTCAGCTCAGTGCTGTAAAGTAGATTCTGACTGATGTCAAGCCTTTCAAGACGTGACCCTCCTTTGGGTTTCTGATGTTCTGAATCATATAACAGTAGGAGGAGACTGCCCATCGTTCTTCCGCTGAGCCTCTGATGGCTTGGCACGGCCTTGTGTCAACAGTGCTACTCGTTCTGGACTGTTAACACCAGAGTTCTCTTCTGAATACAAAGAGGAAGGAAATTACAGGGTCTCAAATGTAGACCAACTCCTCTCCCTGGTGGGCAACTAAAGAATCAAAATGTATTAAGATAATGAGAAAGCTGCAGGACTGTTGTTAGAATACCTGCCTGGGCTGGCCAGGAAGGTGTGAGTTCTGGGAGCCAGGATAGAAAACATGGCAGACTCTGAGTTAGGGATGGGAGAAGGGGTGGGGGTTGTCACCAAAGGGTTTCCAGGCTGCTGGCCCTCCCTGTGTGAGCTGGTCTTTGTTCTAGTCTGAAAAGGTACTGGGAGGGTGGGGTGGAATAAGGGGGTAGGAATACTGGAGATGTCAATAGCAATAGTAAACATACTAGATTTTGGGTTAATTATATGCAAATCATATGCAAATATATGCAACATTTCAAGCCATAAACTTCGACCCTCTGGTCTGAAAGGAGGGGATTAAAAAGAAATTTCCAGTAATACCAAGTTCTGGTAGAGACCAGTGAATGGCTACCCTCCTTCCCCAAATGCACATTGTTTTATTCAGATTATAAATGGTAGGGGCACATTATAGATTATTCAGAAAATATAGAGGGAAATTTTAAATCAAACATAAGCTCAGTTGCACTCATAACATTTTAGCATATTTTCTCCTACTCTTTTCTATGTATTAGGTATGTACTAAGTATATGTTAGGAAGAAGGAGTGGCATCCAGTTCTTAAATAACATGCCTCTGGAAACTCTATGAACTTTGATAAATGTCAATAGTTGTAGAGGGGCTTCAGGCCTTTTTGTTCATAGGGTTGCTATGAGTCGTGCTTGACTCAAAGGCAATAAACAACAATTTAAAAAAAATTATGTACTGTAATGGAGATTGTTGACAACTTTAGTCTGCCTGGCTCCACGGTCAACACTCTTGGCACCAGTAGCCAAGAAATAAAAAATGTATTGCGATGGCAAAGTCTGCTGTTAGGGACCTCTCCGGGGTACTGAAGAGCAATGGTGTCACTCTGGAGACTAAGGTGCATCTGATACAGGCTATGGTCTTTGCAATCACTTGTTATGCATCAGAGAGTTGGACAATGACTAAGGAGGATAAAAGGAGAATTGATGCCTTTGAACTGTGGTGCTGGAGAAGAGTATTGAATGTGCCTTGAACTGCCAGGAAAATAGATTCATCTTGGAGAGGGTTACTTGGAGGCAAGAATTCTGAGGCTTCATCTGACATACTTTGGACATATTGTAAGGAGGGAGAGGTCCTTGGAGAGGGACATTATGCTTGGGAGGTTGGAGGGATGGTGCAGAAGGGGAAGACTTTCTATGAGGTGCATTGTTTCAGTGACTGGGGTAATCGGGATGGGTGTGTCAGAGGCAGTGAGATTGGCACAGGATAGAGCAGGGTTTAGGGCTGTTGTACATAGGGTCGCTATGAGTCGCAAGCGACTTGACAACACATAACAACAACAACACCACCACAATGGACTGAATGATTGATTTCTTAATAGTAGACTGCCTCAGAGCCCTGGTAACACTATGGTTACTACTGCACTAATAGTGCAAAGGCAAATGTTCAGCCCCCCCAGCCCCCTCCATGGGAGAAAGATTCAGCAGTCTGCTTCATCAGAATTTCAGCCTTAGAAAACATTAAGGACAGTTCTACTCTCTCTTACTGGGAGTGAGGATCCACCTGGTGGTGGATGAGTTGCAACTCAACATCAACTCATTGTGGTTGAGTCGGAAATGACTAATATCTGATGCTTGATTGAGATTCCAAGGCTGGAAACCACACAGAAGGAGATTGTTCATCTATCTCCCTCGGAGTGGCTGATGCATTAGAACTATGGAGAGATGTGACCTTTGGGTTAGCACCACAGCTCAGGAGGACTTCCCGTGTTCAAGGCTCTGCAGTGCATCTTACCAATTTCCCTTGCAGGGCATGTGTATCCTACAGACAAGCACTGGGGGAAAGGGGAGGGAATCAGGCTTCGTGAAGACTTGTTTTTTCCATACTGTCACCAACAATGAATGTTATTGCCATTAACTCTTTTCAGCTAGGTGAAGTCTTAACAAAGCTGAGGTTGGATGGCTTAGCAGGAAGGAAAAACGAGAAGACATCCTCTCTGAGGAAAACAAGCGGGAGGTCTGGGAGGATTTACAATGAGTAGGGCTGAGGGCCCAATCTGCAGACGTTTGTCTCCCTCCTACAGTCTTTAAGGAACCCCTTAATGAATTGCCAACATTGAAACATCAAGGCATTTCAAGTGAAAACCCAGGTGTGTGCACTCCCGCGTGAAGACAGTAGGGGGCGCTGAGTGTATCCACTCTTCAGCACCATCCATTCATCACTTCACCTGGCCACTTGCATCTCACTCAGGTTATGTCTGATCCTTAGGTACTATTGAGTTTTGACCCTCAGCATTATGCTGGGCAAGGTGGAGGGTCAAACAAAGAAAGAAAGGGAGACCTCAAGATAGATTGACACAATGACTGTAACTATGGGCTCAAGCATATTGGAAAATGTGAAGATGATCTGTCCACAGAGGGGATATGAGCTATAGTCTACTCCTTGACACCCAACAATAACAAAGTCATGCATCCACAGCCTCATCAGATCAGAAATCAGCATCCTAGAAGGCGTGGGAGCTGTCCTTGGGGTTCCCGGGGCTCCCTCTCCCCCTTGTTAGCTCTCATCTCCCCCGTTCTCCAGTTTCTTCCCGCAGTGTGACGTGGTAAATTTTGGCTCCTGGTTCATTTTCGCCTTCCCGCTCATGTTGTTGTTCCTGTTTGTGGGCTGGCTCTGGATATCCTGTTTGTACGGAGGAATCACCCTGAGGTACTTCTGCCTAATTTTTTTTGGGGGGTGGGGGTGTAGGACAAAGAAATGAGGTAGAGAAATGAGCTTGGAAGCCAGATCGAACCAAGTTTGGGTCTCATATTCCTGGCTCGCAAGAGGAAGAGGCTGTGTCCGCTGTCATGGAAACCAAGGGTTATCACTGCAGTTACATTCTCAGGGGAGAACACAGCGGTCCCACCCTTCTGAGGCTGGGAGGAGTGTACGTCACTTGTGTAATGACGCATCCCATGGAGAGCACCCCTCATTTTCACTGATCCTTCACTCTACCCAACATTTGTGCGTAACTCCCTGAGCAAGGCAAGCGTGGGCTTGTTTATGCTTAGTTCCTAATCAGTGGGTGAAGACCCAGCATGCTTTTCCTTATATTGTTTCGATTTCTGAACCTTATGGATGGACACTCCTCATCTCTTCAGACCATGGGTGTGTATCTTGGTTAAAGAAGAAGGTTAACATCCTTTCACCATTGTTGTTATGGATTATCAAGTCAGAATTGACTCATAACTGACCCTCCAGTGGGGTTCCAGAGGTGTTTTAAGAAGGGGCTAATCCTTGAAGAGGGGCATCATGCTTGGAAAGGTTGAGGGTCAGTGAAAGAGAGGAAGACCCTCAAACACATGGATTGACATAGTAACTACAGCAACAGGCTGCAGAAATGTTAGACATTCTGAAGATGGCACAGGATAGGACAGGGTTCAGATCTGTTGCTCAGAGCGTTGCTATGGGTTGTATTCAACTCCACAGCACCTACCAACAGCAAATCACATGGGAGAAGATTGCCCATCTTTCTCCCATGGAGCAGCTGGTGGATTCGAACCATGTGCCTTTGGGATGGTTGTGTGCCGCTACTCACCACTAAGCCACCAGCGCTCCTTTTCATTATTAATAATTATCGGACAGCATTCTTTTTTAGAGAGCTGAGGTGGCCTAGTGCTAAGGAGCTGTGCTGCCAGCCCGCAGACACGTGGTTCGGATCTGTCAGCTGTTCTGCACGAGGAAGGGGGCAATCTCCTCCCATGCGATTTACTGCCTCTGAAGACCTGCTGGATGATCAGCTGTGGTTCTGATTCTACAGAACTCAGCATCAGCAGCATTCTTCTTTTGGGGAGCTCTGGTAACCTAACAGTAAGGAGCTCTCTGCCAGCCTGAAGGCATGAGGTTCAAATCCACCAGCCGCTTGTTGGGAGAAAAATGAACAATCTCATTCTGTACGATTTATAGCCTCTAAAAGCCCACTGGAGGGTCAACGAAGAGTCAGTCCCGACTCAACATCACCACATAAACACAACCTTCTTCTTTAACCAAGATGCACAACCAAGGCCAGAAGAGAGGGGGCATTTCCATCTATAAGGTTTAGAAATTGGAGAAATCTAAGGAAAAGTGCAGTGGGTCTTCTTCTACTGCTTAGGAAGTAAAAATAAGTAAGCTCATGTTCACCGTACCTAGTGGGTTATCTGCCCCCTGACTTGCACCCACTTTTCCACCCTTTATCATAACCCAAATGTCCGCATGTGTTGGGTCGACTGCATGTATTGGATCCATTATGTTCTATTTTGACCCATTTTTTTCATCTCTTTAATCAGGTACCTGTTTGGTCCCTAAATTTCCTTCGGCCTGGTGGTCCCCTGACCAGACTTGCACTGTAAAAGCATCACCCGCACACATTTGTAGAAAGGGGAGGTGGACCTTGGGCTGTCAGAGTGTCCAAGGACAGTGATCATGTGCTCAGCCAGGGGTTGGGGTGTGGAAGTCACACTGTAGCGCCCACCCCTAAGCTCTCGCTTCATTTTACAGGGGCTGGAGGAAGAAGAAATCCGAAATCCGGACTAGTGCCGAAGACAGGGCTCGAGCCATGATTCGGGAAGAATTCCAGAGTCTGGGGCCCATCAAGTGCGTGGGGTTCTCAGGGAAAGCACCCTCCAGTGAGACTTACTCCAAGCCCTGGGCCCTGAGTCCCCAGGAAGTGGGAGCTTGAGGGTTAGGAAGTGACCTTGGCAGCCTCTGACCTGATGCTGGACTAGATACCCTGTGACCTTCAGGGTGGGCCATCTGTGGCCAATAGCGTCACTCAGGGTGTTCTGGAGGTGGGACCTGCCTAACGCACCTAACACACCCTCTCCATCTTGGTCTTGCGTGACCTCAGGACCTCTGTCTTATTTAATGCACACTTCCTAGGAAATGAAAATAAGAGCAGAAGGCCTGTTACATTGAAGAGTCGGCTCTGCCATTAACTTCCTGTGAGGCCTTGGGCGAGGCATTAACCCTTCCTGGACCCTGCTCCCCAATCTGTGAAATGGGCACATTGGATAGCTGGGTGTCCAACACCTGGGGTGGGCATCTCTCTGTCCACCTTTCTTTCTTCTTCCTTACTGTGTCTGTCTGTCCCTGCTCAAAGGTGTGCCTGTCTCTGTCTGTCTGTGTGACTTTGTCTCTCTGTCTGTCCGGCAGATCTCCACTTTCTGGGCACCTTTCTGGCGCTCTTTGTCTCTCTTGTGATGTTCCTGGTGGTAACAGTACAGAAGAGTTTAGAGAAGAGGGTGTTTGATCTCTGAAGGAACCTAGGGGAGAAGGGGAACCCTGAAAGAGGAGCCATGTAACCCAGCTCACCCCCAACCCCACCCCGGCACTGTGGGGAGGGAGAGAATTGCATCTGTCAATCTGCTCAGAGGCAGAGCCCCGCATCCAGACAGGCCCAGGCTGGGGGTGGGCTGCAGGCTCCAGGCAGTCCTGAGCCCGCGGTCACCCGTCTGCATGTCTGTCGTAGGTTTGCTGAACAAGCCGTTTTTGTCCTTTTCTGCATGTTCGCCGTTCTCCTGTTCTCCCGGGACCCGAAGTTCATCCCCGGCTGGGCCAGCTTCTTCATCCCCGGGTGAGACTCTGGGGCCTGCTTGGATGCGGTCCTACAGGGAGGGGGGGTCAGGGAAGTGGTTCCGACTGTCACCCTGCTTGTGTTTTCCCTAAAGGGAGCAACTATTGTGACTCTTTTAGATGAAAAGTAGGCATTGCAAACATTTCCGTGATACGGAAGAAGTGAGAATCACTGAAAATCTCAGACCCCAGTTCCCATAGACATCTTTTCTGACTTGGAAAAAAAAATAGGTGCCTGTCTGGAAACTGGGGGTCATGAGAATGTACATATGTTCTAAAAGAAATGGGAAAGATGTGCTGGGAGTGTGGAAAGACAGGCTAATAATGGGCACAGTTAAAGGATGATTCATTTTATAAAACATAATGAGTGGCAACGATTGTATGAAACACAAAGTGAATGAAAGGTTGTGTGAAGCACAATGTATATGAACTTTGTTAGCAAATCAATATAAAATAATACATAAAAAATAACATACAAATTATTGAAAAAATCTTAAAAAGAACATACACATTGGTCAAAAGTTACTGAACTGTCCCTTAGAAAGTCCATCAGTCAGTCCATCAGAGTCGTTAAGTTGGAACTGACTCATAGCTGGCCATCTAGTGCGTTTCTGAGGCTGTAAGTCACAGGGGAGCAGATGGTTGCCCATCTTTCTCTCACAGAGCAGCCGGGGGACTCGAACTGTCAAAGAGACACTGCCGTTGGGTTAACAGTGCGACTCCCTACAGACCCACCACCAGAGCTCCCGGTCCTAAAAATGGGCGTCTCTTATTGCATGTAAATTTTAATCCAGTAAAACTCATTTTAAAAACTCATTCGGCTTTCTAAAAACAAAGCTGTCTAAACACAAGCTGTTTTTAACAAAAATGAGATCACATTATACTCATTATTTATTACATTTTTTCTTTTATGTTTAATAACTGGGTTTAAAAAAAATTATGCATACCCCATATACAAAATTCAAACAATACTAAATAATAAAGATAAAATTGAGTTGCTCTCCTGCTTTCTGTCACACTCTGTGGGGATGATTACTGTTAACATTTCGATGCAGTATTTCATACTTGTCTATCTATACACATAAACAAAAGCAAAGACACACGTTGTTGTTAAGTGCCGTCGAGTTGTAGACAGCCCATAGTGACCCTATGAGTGAAAATCTTGAAAACTTTCCTCTTGAGCTCTGGTGGCATAGTGGCAAGAAGCTGCGTTGCAATCTTGAAGGCACGCAGTTTGAGGCCACCAGTTGCTCTGTGGGAGAAGGATCCTCCCGTGTGATTAACTGCCTCTGAAGACCCACCGGAGGGTCAGCTATGGGTCGGTTTCAACCCAATGGTAAACAACAACAATGACAACAACAGCAACAACAACAACAGCATACAAAGAGCTAGGAAATAAAACAGAAGCATTAAGTACACACACACACACACACAC